GGCGGCTCTTCGCATAGTCACCGATGGAGCCGCCCTCCTCCGCTCTGAGAAGACTATGATCGATATCGAAGCTCCAGTCACCGGTGAGTCCTCGCTCTTTCACCAACTCTTTTATTTGCCACGACACATAAATTCAATTTGCTCTTTATATAAAAAAAAAAAGAAAGAAAGAAAGAAACGAAAACTCGTCTATCGATCGAATTGATATATTCGCGAAAAAAATAAAAAGAGGAGGGAGGAAAAAAAGGATTTTGAAGAGGCTTCCCAAGAATCGAGGAAAGGCTCGCATTATGTCGAGACACGTTAGAGGGGAAAAAACGTGAAAGGCACTTGACACAGTTGCACGTGGTACAGGAACGTGTGCGTTTACATGACATGGTATCGATGTTGTGTGTATGTGTGTGTGTGTGTGTGTGTGTACGTGGAAAGAATGAAACTTGGTTGAACGATTCGTTTCGTTTGATTCGATAATAGATAGATCGATCTTGATCGCGTGGATCGGTGTTAAACTTAAGGCTAGAAAATCAAGGCTCGCGATTTTCAAGGCTCCATTTTTCTTTTCTTTGTTTTTCTTCTTCTTCTTCTTCTTCTTTTTCTAGGTTTGATTCGAATATAGTACGATGCAATTTCTATAGATATTTAATGTGGATTTGTTGGAAGAAGGATGTTTCAATGATTATTTCCAGTTCCATTTTTTTACTTGAATGCAAAGGATCGATTAATATTCTCATTTTAGAGATTTATTTTTTTTATCAGAACTCAGAACGTGAAGTATAGTTTTTATCAAAGTTTTCTGGATATAATTACCTATTTAACAACTTTTTATCCCAACTCGAAGATGGAAAACCTTAAAATCTTCCGTTCCGGCTATTAAAAAAATTCATGGTAAACAAGAAACAAAGTTGGTAAAGAAATAAATAATCCAAGGAAAAGAGAAATATTCCAGGTAATGAAGTTGGAATTTTCAGAAAAACTGATGAATCTAGATGTTTTTTTTTTTTTTTTTTTTCCCCCTCTTTTTCCTGCTATATATATCTCTCCTTTGACCAAAGGTATACGGCGCTAATTAGTTCCATTTTGCCATGACCTATTAGTTTTCCGTCTAGTTAAAAAAAAAGAAAAAAAGCATAATCCTCCAACACCTTGCTTTTCATCCAGTTTTTCCTGCCTTTCATTCTTACAACTTCCTTTTCACCCTCTTTGTATCCCCTCCCCCTCCTTTGATCTCGACTCTCCTCTCCACTCACTTAGCCCTCAGCTTTTTCTCGAAAACTTCATTCCCCGCCTTCTGAACCCGTTTTCTTTTGTAATTTCTCCTCTGCTAAGTCTCCTCTCTTTCTCTTTTTCCCCTCCTCCTCCCCTGCCAAGTCAACGGCAGCCACCCTACTGAGTCTTCCGTTTTCCTCCAGAGAGCCAGTCCGCTCTTTTTCACCTGATTTCTACTTTTTACTTTTACCCTCTCTTCGTTTCTTCGTCGAAAACGCATTCGCTGGAAACTCGCGCAAAACCCACCCACACTTGAAGAAAACGTATTCTTCCTTTCCTCGTGGATAATGATGGATTAATCTCTTCGATGAAGAAAGAAACGTGGATTAAAGAAGAGTTATCATTTTTCTCGTAGTAAATTATAATTACAATTAGAGACACGAATAAACGTACATCCTTTCCCGAATATTTTCTGTTCACAAAAGAATCAGAAATTAGTCGATAAAATTCGTCGTCAGATTTTCTGTCAATTTGATATAAAAAAAAAATTTAGCAACTCGAATAGAAGGACTAATTTTTAAACCAATTAGCAAGCTCTTAACAAGATTACTAACGACCTTAATTCAACTTCATACCCACATTTAAATAAGATATCAAACCTCGATCCACTTTCCAACACTCTATTTTCATCGTCCCCACTTTGCATCTTCTCGCCATTCGTTCGTTCTTTCGACCCTTTTCCCATCCACCCGTTTAAATTTTCGATTCTTGGCGTTCAACGATCCCGAACAATGGCGCACGTGTCCCTCTTCTTCTTCTTCTTCTTCTTTCTTTCGAACGAAACGAAAGCAACCCTCCCCCCGACGACACGTCCTCCTCCCCCGCGGCGAATCCTCAATTACGC